TGATTTTTTGGATTGTTTATTTAAATATAATCAACATTTATAAAACAAAAATTCCTTTTTCAATTAACTTGAACTTGGGATAATGGGAAAAATTCGATTCTTCTTGCTAAAAAAATTACAAAATTGTAATAATTTCAAAATGGAAAAAAATAAAATGCTTACCTGTGATTGTTCAACAAATATTTCATCATCAAAGTCCAAAACATAGTCCAGAATAACGTGTTGTTTTATCAAAAAATTTTCATTTATATATAACTTCACTTGGTGTTGGATAAATCACAACATCTTCATCTGACACACACATATAGCTAGGCCTCATGCTGTCTTTTGTATTTACTATTCAGATAATGAATTCTTTGTCATTGAGTTTAACCTTAATTTTCATATTAATTCTTATTTGGATAAGATATGTTGCATTTTCTTTATTAATAAAATTCCACAAATAAATACTGAATGGACACAATGGATTTTTTTTTGTTACTGTTAGTATCGTTTCCGCCACTATTATCATTATTATTATTGTTGTCAGATCTTGAAATAGTTGGTCGTTGAGACATCCTTGCAATATGGAAGAATGTGGCCATATGTATAAAAAATATCGGGATAACTATAACAGCCAATGGATAAAAAAATGCTCTACTAGCATTTTCCTCTTTAATGAAGCAAAGAGTTGCAAATTCATAATTGACGGACGAGGTTGCCAATGCTATCACGGTGAAAAATGCCGGAATGCCCCAGCCAAGTAAATGTAAAATAATATATCTTTTCCCAACACAATTTGAACTCCATACGGTGTGAATATGAAGATTTACTATAATTATTCCGACCCACATTGTTGTTGCAAACGATGCAAATATTATTAATGCACCTATATATTGTGTTAAAATGTGTGGTAAATTGATTAATAAATAATTTTAAACTTGTATTATATTAACGTGTGGTTAATTGATTACCTTGAATGGCACATAAAATATTATTGCTTTGAGTACTTGGATCGATATCATTTACACATTGAATCTTTTTAGGATCACCAATCGAAAAAAATACCAAAGAAGAAAATATAAATATTGCAATTGAAGTGAACAAAATCAATAAACCAGGATGTGTTCTTTTTCCAGGTAATAAAATATACGAAATCGACATAATAAGTGCCAATACAGCTGATACTACTCGGAAACTTTGCGTCACCGCGAATCCTTTTTCTAGCCAGCCATCTGGATATACCGAATATGTTTGAGGACATTTAACACAACATCCACCTACACAGAATTTTTCATGTGTTGGGGTATTGGTTGCAAGATAATATTCATCGATTATTGCCGGTGGAAAACATCTCGGTTTTAATATTAATTGATTATTGCCACGTAGTGGTGCTTGATTGTTACATGATGATAATGATGCGGAGG